GATTAATATAAATTAACAATTTATACCTAAATACAAAAATCTTAACTTATCAAACATTAACATATATCTTATAATAAAAAAATATTTTATTTAATAATAGTATGAGAAAACCATTTTATATATATATATATATATCTTTTTTATACACTGTTTTAAATTAAATTAAAAATTTAATAATTTTGCTTAAATTAAGTGTAGATTAAAACAAGTATCTGAAAATTTTCCGATCCTTAGTTTTAAATGTTATTTTATAAAAATGAAAATTTTCAAAAATTGAATTGATTTTGAATAAAACTAAGGTATTATTAAAAGATATTTTCAGTTTGAAATATTTCAGTTGTTAAAAATAAGAAAATATTCAGATTTTTGAGAAATATTAATAAGTTAAAAAATTAAAATATATAGATTCAAAAACAATATGATTATTATTTTTTTACACATTCAATGTTTTCACACTATTCGAAATATCAGAAATAAAGAAGTGAAATAAAGAAAAGTATTGTTTATGTGTTAGGCTCGTACGGCGTGGCACCACATGATTTCCATCAAAATACTAGTAATGATTTTAGTTCCGGCTTGTAGAAAAAAATTTTTTATACTTCGTTCTTAATACAACTCTAAGTACTTGATATCGTAAATAAAAAAATCTCTAGAATACGAAATTGTTTGTTTCTGTACATTCAAATGAAAATATCTTTTTCCTATTTTTTTTTTTGCTCCTACTCACGAATAAATTTATTACTTATAGATTTATTCACAGTACTAGTTAATGGATTTATAAGTTGAAAAAGGTATTATTATTATCTTATTTTTCTAAGTAGTTTATTTTTTCACTTATATGGTCATCTTTGACTGATCATATTTACTTTAGTCCACTTTTTAATAATACAGTTATATTTTATTTTAGAAAGGACAATTTTATATTTTTGTATATCAGATAATTTTAATAATTCACTTAAAAAAATTAATTTTTACAAAATATTTATATGAATTTTTTATATAACACGTATGTAATAATTAATCTATTATTATTTAATGGCAAGTTGATGAATTAATTAAGACTTTATATAATGTTAATGAAATTTTCAACATGAAAATAATGAAAAATTTATTTAAATAAAAATTTAAAGCCATTTTTTGCATCTAAACGTTAATTTTTCTAATACATAAAATATGCAAGGTCAATACTAACATATAAACATACATGATATATTTTTGTTAAAAATATAAAATGGAAACATACATAAAATATAAATATTAAAAATGTAAAATTAGAAAGTTTGTAAATATTAAATTTGTTCAACAATATTTATTTTATTCATAAGAATTTACAATCTTTAAAATAAATCATTCCATATTTTATATAAATCTGCGTTTGTTCAACAATGAAGAATTTTTCTAAATCTTCCATCTGGTGTACAATGTATACTGTATAATTTACATTTTGTAGTCTACATTTTGTACCTATCATTGTCTAAAATATTATTTCTTGTTGCTTTTTTAATATTTATTTATATTCCATTAAAAAAAAAATCATGTTACGTTATCATAAATGATATATCCGTGATTATTCTAATTCCTATTTATATGATAATGATATATATATATATATATATATCATTATCGACATTATTTTCAAGAAAAATTATTTGTGTTATATTTATCAAATATTGAATTTATCAAATATCAAGCATTGAAAATTTGTTCACTATAGGAAAGAGTATGAAATGATTATAAAAGTGCCGTAAATAAATAATAATCCATATCCATATTAAACATTATTCTAGTAACCCATTGAAATCGAAACAATAAATTTATAGGTTAAATATAATCAAATTTATAAATTGTAATATAAATTAAGATATTTTTATTAGTACATTACATACATAAACTTTAAAAGAATATGAAAAAAGTTATAAAAATATTAAAATGAATACTTTAAATAAAAATGTAATGAAAAGCAATAATTAAATAATAGAATAATCCATAAAAACAACAATATATTAAAATAAAATTATCATATTATCTAACTAAAAATAATAAATCTAATGCAATTTAAATTACAAATATATCGTGGAGTTAAAATGTTATTAATATACCATTTAATAATCTATCCATATTATGAGCAAATTAAAAGTTGATAATATGTCATTATGACAATACATTAATAATTGAAAATTTGTGTAATGAAATTTTGGTTTTGATTTATTATATACTTTTTATTGAAATATACATTTATTGAATGTTAATTAACATTTAAGAGTTTCATTCTCTATTAAAAATATTAAGAATATATATATGATATATATAATTATTTTAAAATTTTGTTCATAAAATACTTATTTTATTATGATTATTTTTCAATATCAATATAATCTTTTGTAATTGTAATATAATACTGTTTAAATTATAATTTTATATTATTTTATAAAATTAATGTTATTGATCTTATATAATATATTTTCCATACATGTAATGCTTTATTTATATTTATTATGATTATATTTAGTTTGTATATAATACATAATGATTATGATATGCATATATAAATGATTAATTACGTTTATTAAGTAATAAAATTAAGACGATTTTATAATAGTCTTTTTTCATTAAATATTATCGTTAAATTATATACTATAATTTAAACAATATTTTTAAAAATGAAATTTTAAAAACAATTAATCGATTATTCATATTATTTAAAGTTATAAGTGAAACAAAATTATAGTTAAATTATTATTCATTACATCTGGAATTAATATTTGTTAATATTAAATATTTTATAAGTTAAATATGTAGAGAAGGAAATAAGTAGAGAATTATTATTGGTAGTTAGTTGAAAAGTTATTAGTTGAAGAGTTCGAGGCGAACGATGTAGTTGAAAATTTGCATAGAATAAATAATCTTCCTCTATTATTTGTAGTAGAAATCAATATATATATATATATATATATCTGACTCTTCCTATTATATTTTTGATTTTATATATATATATATATATATATATATATATAGAGAGAGAGAGAGAGAGAGAGAGAGAGACAGACAGACAGACAGATAAAGAGTGATGGATGAGATACAGCGTAGATATAAAGAATTCGTACACACTAACACTTTCAAAATATCTGCATAGTCAGTCATATTATAGCATTGGTACATCACCCTTGAAACTGAAAATAAAAATTAGAAAAAAGCAAAGAAAAGAAGATGGTTGTAGTTTATGCTACTTGATCCCAATAACCCAGATAGATGAAAATTAGCTTTACACATTAATTATCCATAAAGTGAAAATATAAGTAACATTAGTATCCTTTAGATCATTTTAAATTTCCAAAACGAATAAAAAATCTATTGATTTTTTTGGTAAAATTATATATTATTTCTAAATCCTTGTATCCTTATAATATGATCACTAAACTTAACATTACGATCCTACATTCCAAATTTTCAATTATATTTATAATACACTAATTATAATGTATAAATAATATATTTATACTTTTGTATAAATTATATATATTTGTAATAATAATAATAATAATAATTATATTTAAATATAATTATTTTTATATTTGTACATTTAATTATATAAATCATTTCATTAAAGTAATTATTTATATTCATTATATTTTAATTTCAATATTTGCATTATGTAAACATTCTATTTTTTTAAAACATTTATTAAATACAATAATATATATATATATATATATATATATATATATATATATATATATATAATGAAATATATATAAAAAAAATTCACTATTTATAAATAAAAACTCTTATAATTACAAACGCGATAGTCTTCGATGTCTTTATATAGGAAATAATAAAAGCTCTTACTCATCTAACGTGCCGTAGAATAATATGAGAACGTAATAAAATATGCAATCATGCAATTAATAAGTTGAGCTAAAGAACAGTTAAAACTCGTAGCTAATAAAGAGAAAAAAATAATTTTAAGATTCTAATAATATTTAATCCACTTATTTATTTGACTTTTACTAATACAATGAACTATTAATAAATAAACTTTTTTTTTATATAATATAAGTATTTAAAAAATATTCTTATTATATAACTCAAATATTGTTAATTTAATAATCAATGATAAAATGAATTTTTTAAAAATTAAAAAATATATAAAGTTACATATTTGTATCTTTTTAAAATAAAAATATAATTAAAAAAATACGCTTATTTATTAATGTTATATATTAATTAGATGAAATATTTAATATAAAGAAATAAATTTATAATTAATATTTAATAGGAACTATTAAACTCAAAAAAAAAAAAAAAAAAATATTATTTAAAAATCGTAACTTTACTTTTCAATTTAAATATGTATATATTTATGATTTCATCAAACTAATAATATGTAGGTATTTTGTACTTAATTATATTCTCTGCCTCAGTACTGATAAATCACTTTTTAATATTATAAATTCTCAAACATTAGAAAATTTAATAATATCTCACTAAATGTTGTATATACTGTATTAATACTTAGATACTGTCTTTGCTCTTTATTTTTTAATTAAAAAGAACATTAATTAATCTTTCAATTTTTTTTTATATTAAGAGTGCTTTGATTTTATTTATTCTATTAATTTCATATACCATAAAATTTAATGTAATTTCTTTTTACAGAAATTCATGAAGTAATACTTTAAAATACTTTGTTTTTCGAACTCTTTATAATTTAAATCATCACTATAACTAAACATGTATAGCATGTATATAATTTTAATTTACTAGTACATCGAGTAATATGTTTTTATATCTTTAGTAATACATTATTGTTATAACGAAAAATTGCTTATAATTCATATGAAAAAAATGTTAAAATTATAAAAAAATTATTATAACAGTGTATAGAGTAAGAAGATAGATTACCATTATCTTATTCTAGTATTTAATATTCAACTGTACAATTATTTATCTAACATAAGAATATTACAAAAGTATTTTTATTATAGATTTTCCTATTAAATTCATAAAAACCTCTGCAAGTTCGTTATCGATAAATTTTTATACATGCAATGCATTTCGTCATTTGATGGTAAAAAATCATTTACAAGTATCTGATAATTATCAATGGGACAATATTCTTTACATTTTTTTAATTTTATTAATTTTAACTCTTCTGTCTGACCTGTCCACATGTATATCTATAACAAAAAACAACATATATTATTTTAAATGTAAAATATAGATGTATTAAAATATAAGAATTTTTTATCATTTTCAATTTATAGTATGTACTAAGCCATGAATATGGCGTTTAATATTATTATTTAATTAATTTTGTTACTTATTAATTCATTGACAACAATAATGAATCTCTAATAAATTCTTTAATAGTATTGAAGAATATTAATTCATAATATCGATAATTCATATTTATGGACGTAAAAATTAAATTATTAAAGGAATCGTTTATTTTTAATAAATTATAAACTTAATAAGTGTTTATAAGAAACTTATTAATTGAAATTAAGGACGCTCATTATATACACAGTTTTAAACTCTTTAACGAATTATCATGTGATAAGAGAATATATTTTGTATTGTAAATTTTCTTTTCTTAGACTCATATAAATCTGATGTCGCATTTGTTTCTTAAATACCTTTACAAAAACCTTATCATGATTATTTCGATATTTCTCCACAATGAAAGACGAGCTATAACCAGGTATTTCTTCTAAAGTAATACTATGTCCTTTAGCGAATGCATATATGTTGAATTCATGACCGCTGAAAAGATGAATCTTATAAGAATTGGATATTGTCCCATTGAGATCCATGTTTTCGAGAATTCGTCGTGTCAAGCCATTGTTCATTCTAATCATATTTGGAGTGTAACAATTTATTTCTAAATAGAGCTTTGCAGCATCATTAAGTTTTCTAGCAATCACAGGGGTGTACCATTCTGGTTGTGAGATATTTAAAGTTCTCTAAAAAATTAGTTATTATTTTTCAGAATAATTAAATTTAATTTATTGAACTAAATAGTTGCAATTTAATAGTAATTCAAAATACAGTTGGTTTTGTTTCTATAAATAATTATATTTTCTATTGAAAAGCATAATATGTCTTAGTATTAAAATCAAAAAATTACTATTTAACGTAATGTAAATTTAATTTTATAACAAATAAAATTCAAGAGATAACAAAGTAAAATTGATATTATGTACCCATAATAATATTTAATTTAAAAGATTCTTGTATACTTCGAATTTATTGCCTATAAAATCTACGTCATGAAATTTCTTGAATCTGGTTTTTATTATGTAGTATTAAATATATGTGTATATATATACTGTGTGTGTGTGTGTGTGTGTGTGTGTGTGTTCGTGATATTATATTATATTATATATATAAAATATGTTACAAAATCAATTCATGTTCATATTGATTGAAAAATTACTAATAAATAATTCCTACTAAATACGTCTTTGGTTTTCATCAACTATTTAGATAATTTCAATATTAATATATAATATATAAACATTTGCCTGTATATTTAATAAATTATTTATATAAAAAATCATTTCCATATCAAAATTAACATTCGAATTTTTTTCATTTAATAAGTCGATAATATCCTTATATTTCGCTATTAAATTTTTTATTTCTGCTCTATTCATGAGATTTTTACGAAGTTCTTGAAATCTAAAATATTATCTGAATTATAAAAATACCTTAATATAAATATTTTGTGTTATTTGAAACACTATGAGGGCTAATTAATTAATGAAACAGACGAATTTTATAAAGTTCATTGTATGTTACTTGCTTGGAGCATTCTAGCGAATTGAACAATATATCAAGTTCGATAGGAACAAAATGAATAGGAATTGGCATCCATTTTAAATTTTTATTCCACACGTGCTTTCCCATAGGTGGGAAAAGTGCTGCAAGCACGAGTTGCAACGATACTTTCGTTCGATCAATTTCTGAGCTACAAGCATAAACATCTTCAGGCTTATATGCGTCACCTAGAAAATCCGAATACTTATGTCTCAACATATCACCAAGCCTATATGCTTGCTGTTTCCCAACCTACAATATAATTCAATTAGATTATTTTAATCATATCCAATGACCATCACATTTGTATCAATTTATGATATTTTTTTTCATTTATTTCATTTTTCATAAGATACATGATATATTATATTTTATAAACACTAAGCACTGAATTGTTGACATTAAGAAAATACCTCACACTTAAAGAGTATTTTTACTTTTAGTATTCTAAATTTATTAATGACTGTTAAAAAATATAAAAATTTCTTTTTAACTTATTTAATATAAGGTATCTACTTCATCAGTCTGTTTAAGAAGAATATCTAGGAACTTTTAACTGTATGCTTAGCACTGTACACTCTATGAATTCTAATAAAAAGTAAAATTATAAGGCTATTAATATAAATATTAACATATTTTGAGATTTAAAAAAAATATATTTATGTATAATGTATATTAATATATACAAAGAATGTATATTTCTATTTTTTGTATACAATATCAAAATTATATATATTTACAATATTGGGTACAAACATCAACAAATTTATTATTAGTATATATGTAATTTTTAATCGGAATGGTGTTATTTAATTTTTATGTAATATCAAATATACAATATCCGATAGATTGGAATTAATTATATAATTTAAATATATAATAATATAATGGATTATGTCCTGATTTTGTTAAATTTATATAAATTCATTTTTTTTTTAAATTATTTATTTAATCGATATTAATTCAGATTTTATTAAAATAATATTAAACCTCCAAACTAAATTTTATATATCTGTTTATACAAAATTTATATACTTTATCAAAGAGTAATATTTGTAAATGAAAACGAATCACATTAAAATACCAACTGTTTTGTTATCAAGTATATTGTATATATATATATATATATATATATATATATATATACGTACATATATATTACTTTCTTCTTTTGAAAAGTATTACGCATAAATTACACATTCACTTTTAAATATTATATTCTAACTATCTTAAAACTTACATTTGTTAACTGTCCATATCCCCAAAACTCATACAATGATCGTTTTGCGTTAATTAATAAATCTACTTCATTTTTCTGAGCAGTCCGTTGTCCATGTCTAAATAACTAACAGATTTTATTTATAATTTAATCTATAAATTTATATTATCAAATGATTTTTCGGAGATAAATATTTTAAATTAAAAAATTTTAAATTAATAAAAAATTATAATAATGTTAATATATTTATAAGTGGAACTCAATCATTATAATACACATTTAAAAGTTTCTATTTTATATAACAAAAAAAAAAAAAAAAAAAAATGTAGAATTTATTTAACAATGAAATATTATAATGAAATCCAATAATCCGAATTTCTTAACGAATTCTTAATTGTTTTTGAGTATAATAATAATAATTAAGTATTTCAATAATTAACAATAAATAGTTAATAGTGAAACCATTTATATTATGGATAACATAAATTAATATAATATTTATTTAATAATAAAACATTGTAATGAAATACAATAATCCATATTTCTAAATGGATTATTAATAAGTATATTAATTTTTTTGAAAATTATAATTTTAAAATGTTAATTAAAACATATAATTATTATACAGTTTACTGAAAAAGTTACTATCAATTTAAGCTTTTTATATTTCATTACTTAAAACCATTTGTGTAACTTACAGTTCGTACGTTAAATGTTTTAACAAATTCAAACTATAATTTATTGAATATTAATAAAAATAACATTTTAAATATATTTGGTTAAAACATGATCGGAAGTGAATAAAAGTAAATATCATAGTTTTTACGTACAACTTGAACTAATTCCAATTTTAAATCATTGACAAATAAACATTGCCCACAATGGATAAATAACACGCAAATACAAATTATATGTTGGATAAATAGCATTGTGACTCATAAAGAGCGTTATACACAATAACACATTACCGTGTGATATTTCCAACAAGTTTATACGTCTCTTTGATACGAATTCTTCTAATAATAAACTACCGATTCTACTGGTAATGTACTACTGAAATGTATGAACACACATCTTGTATAGAACTGTGATATAAATATTGGTTTGAATTAATAATAGGCATTTTATATTCAAAACTATATATTTTCCATATTTATATATGTTAATAAGTAGTAATGTAATATTTCTGTTACATAAGATGAACATATATCATTTTTATATTCACTAAAATGTTTCATTAAATAAAATCAGAATATCAAATTTGGATTTTAAATATTAACATCTAAATAAATTTCTTCATCAGGATGGATTATAAAATGAAAAGTGGCTTATTTTAAAATTCCGTTAAAACAATCTAATCAACGCTACGAAACGAATAATAGTTTATTTATTTTAATTTATACAGATTTACATATTGACTAAAATATCATGTAATTAATAACATTTTAGAAATGCTTTTATCAAGATATACTTAGTTAAATTGTATGTACATAAAATAATGATTTAAAATACTGCATCTATAAATTATGTTTAATTATATATGTTGTACAACTATTTACGAAACAATATTTTCAAAACAATTTATTTATATATGATTATAAAATTTAATATTTTTAAATAAATCTTTTCTTTTTGTTTTGTTTTTGGCCTTAATTATATACAGTTGAAATGAAGTTAGTAATCGCGTGTTATATTCAGAATCTATTTCTTGTAGTCTAATGTTTTGCTATTTCCATTTAATGTAAATAAAATATTTATAATTTTACTCTAATTTAAATATTCGAAGGCTTTTAAACAATATATACATCATTCTAAATAAAAATACTTCGACATATAAACTACTATATATAAAGTTAAATCAAATGGAAATCAAGAAAGTCGAATCAGGTAATGTTTACAAAATTAAACTTAATTTTCATATTAAATATACTAGAATGATTAATATTCAGCACTTTTAAGTATGATAAGATTTATAAAAGAAAGAAGATATTAGATCACTAAGTGATAAGGGCTTATTTAAAAAATTCTATATTAATTAGATATATACATTTAATATAAGATGATGAATATTTTATTTTAATATGTATATATTCTTTTTCAATATTTAAAAATAGAAAAATATAACGAGATTTATTTCAAATACATTTCTTTATTTATTTCTTATATTTACATTACATATTTAATCTATTGTTTGCCAATAATATTGGATGTGCTCTGAATTAATGTTAAAAACTAATCATTCCAAATTGACAAAACTATTCATATTACCCTAAAATAAAATAAACAACATTTAATATTATTTACAGGCATATTAAAACTTAATCATTTTATATTGTGCGTATATTCTTTCAATTTTATAGTAAAGTATATAATTTAAAAATATTGTCAGTACAATCAACTTGAAGTTTTTACCGGACAGTCGTGTTTGTCTCTCTCTCTCTCTCTCTCTCTCTCTCTTGCTCTCGCTCTCTTTCTTTCTCTCCTTACTCATTTTCTATATATCGTCTTTCAACTTATTTTTTTTTTATCTATCCTACTATTGAAACGTGTCTAGAATATTCGTTTACTTTGCAAAAGATAAAAATAAAAAAGAAATATCGGTAAATCTAAGATACTAATATTGTAGTAAAAAGGTGTTAAAAGATCTTACAATGAACTTTATTGACATCACAAAGTATAACGTATATCAAATAAAAATAAAAAAACAAATTCAAAGAAAAGTCACGAAAAATATTAATAAATACATAAAAATAATAATAAAATAATTTATTTCTTTGTATAATAATTTGTTAACTAGTAAAACTTATAAACATTTTTTATTATTGAGTATTCCTTTTCCCATTTTAATAATATTAAAAATTTATACTATACCGTTACACTCAGATTTATAAATAAATTAAATAATCTGCTTCCGCAATCTGCTGCCAATAATCTACGTGATTTCAACTAAAATACGAATTTATATTATATTTATATTTCTAACATACATTAATATTTCTAAAAATAATTTTTCCAATTACTATAATGATATTATAGTTGATTTTTATATATTTCGCGTATAGGCTTATAGATCAATATATCATTTTATTAATTAAGTGTCTAAAGACCAACGATGCTCTATAATTTGCTAGATTCTTGTATATTATTACAAATATACCACATTAAACTGAAATATTATTACTTGAGGTTATAATTTTTAACTATATTATAATCGTGTGATTACTATTTTCTTATTAAATTCAACATAAAAATGTACCTAAAATTATAAAAATAGAAATCTTTAAACATTTTTTTACATTTTTCAGTATATCATTGAAATTCAAGGGAAGTAATAATTTATGAAATTTTATTTCATATATATTTGTAATGTAATTATTATTATCATTTTATGCGTTATTTGTATTTTATCTTTATGATTTTAAATTATATATATATATATATATATATATATATATATACCAATATAAAAAATTTCATAATATAATTTCTATTTATAGATTTATTTGTAGTTTTTGTCTTGTATTGAATATATTCAATGCATATAGTAATACTTAGAATTTTTTTAAACCGATTTAAAAATGTTAAAAAGCTGAATAACCTAATAATCGTGATTAACAGAATAAAGATTAATTTTGAAAACCTTGCACTTTTCGTTCTTTAGTAAAATAATATAATTATTATATATAAAAACTCCTTTTTATCTATTTGATTAGCATAGTAAGTAAATCAATTAAAAAATATTAAAATTACGTGTTTATTTTAATTCAGTTAATACACTTCATTCAATATATTGTCGAATTCTAATAATATTATTATAACAAGGGTTCACTTGACTTTATCGAATCCTATCATTATCATAGCATTATCATCAGCAAACTTTATTACAATTTTATGAATAAGTTAAAATTTATCGATCAAGTTTCAAAGTATTTTAGTAAAATAAATTAATTTATGAACATTTGTTTTCAAATGATGTTTAGAGCTTTAATTTTTTTTATATTAAGCCATATGTATATGCATTTATAAGCTTGAGTATAAATGTAGAAAAACACAAAGAAATAAAAAAAATAGGCTACTTCAGCGCACGCGTAAGGAGTTTCAATTGACGTCATTCTCACAAGGGAAAAAGTCAAATCGTCATCTCTTTCTATTTCTCTTTCTCTTTCACCTCCCCCCTCTCTCTCTCTCTCTCTCTCATCCTCCCTATTTATATCCTTCTCTATGTTTCTCTGAAACCGAATTACATGGCACTGCCAAGGGTATCATAATGGTAGAATTGGAAAAGGAAAACAGGATACAGCATACACCTGATAATACACCATACACACACATACACACACACACACATAAGCAATAGTGTCCTATCAAGTGGCTCGTTCAGGGCCCATCCGAGCTTTTCTTCCACAGATGTTCCTGACTCGTCGCTCAAACTTTTCTCTTCAAGCTTACGCATTCCATTCTTTACTTGAATGTTACCTCAGCTATCTCCAATTTTCGGAAATTTTTTGCTTCTGGAAGCATTTGTACGTGAATTTCCCGGGGGAAAGTATCAAAGACGAAAATCAATCCTGGCGCGTATCATTGATCGATCTCCTGACCCTTCTATCTTTCATTCATCGTAATTTTTTGCCTTTGTATTTTTTTACTTTTATTTTCCTTTCTTTTCTCTTATGTGTTTATGATATCTCATATATGCAATCAACTAATTATAATCTTATTTACTAGTATCACAATAATGAATATTTTATAAGTTAATATAATGATAATAAATTTGAAAACTAGAAAACGTATCCAGAATGTAAAGCATTTAAATAAATGTAATGTCAGTAAAAATAGATTAAATAGACAAAATAGAAATAGACAAAATTATCAATAAAACATCATCTAAAAATATATTCCGGAAATTCATATAAACCTACGCATATAAACAAAAATAACTTGATAGGGCTTACAATTAATAAGGATTCGAACATTATTTCTTTTACTATCATGGACATTCATTCTATTTATCTGAAAAAATTGAAAGTTTCATTATTTTATGCATTTATAAACTTTATGTTTACTAAAAACAATTTAAAATTTCTAATAACAGATATGTGTATAAATAAATATGAATAAATATGACGATTGTTGGAATAAATTTTAGTTTAAAAGTATATTGTTTAAAATAATTTTTAATATAAACTCTTAAAAGAAGTTTTATCTATATAAAATTAGAAAATAGAAAATATACTTTCCGATTCCCTAAGATTATCTTTTAAAATTAATTTAAAATTGTAATTTATCTCTTATTAATTTTAGTAAGTATCATTATATACTCATATATAGTATAGTTTAAAATGTATTTTTCGATAAAATTATAATTATTTTTAGGGAGTGCAAATTTTAGTAAATTCCAACCTAAATATGATAAGTAAAATAAAAATAGAAAAACTAAATAATTTTTTAAATGTTAGTTTTTTTCTTCTAAAATTGCAGTCAATTTCAAATTTGAGTATAGCCACCATATAATAACTAAGCATAAAAATGAACGTATATTACATGAGTGAATTCTTTGATATAACATTTGATTCTTATAAAATTTATAAAGTACATGTTATGTCTTTCACCCGAAGTAGAAAGTAAGGTGAAATCTTCATGTCGCTTAAAAGATTTTAAAGTTTTTCTAAAGTTTCATCATCATTGAATTATATATTGAATTTATATCAATTTTATAATTACATTCGTTGTAGTTATATTATTACATATATAATAAATATATTTATAATGAACGTATATATCAAAATGATTTAAATGCAAAATATGTATACTTATTTATTTATTATAATTACATTTGTAAAATTATTGACTACAATATTTTAATAAAATAATTTTACAAATTTTATAGGCGATTACCAATAAATTTACGAGCTACGAAATAATGTTATTCACTCATACAATATATAATTATAATAATAATAATAATAATAATAATTACAATTATCTTCATTTTAATGT